TGACATGACATTATATGAAATTCAGATTTCAGCGTCCACAAATAAATTTTATTGACACACAGGCATGCCCAGGTTCACAGATGCCTGTGGCTGCTTTCATGACAAAATGATAAGAGTTGAGTAATTGTGATCTAGTTTTAATGGCCTCAAAAGCCAAAAATATTTAATATCTGGCTCTTTATAGAAAAGAGTTGCCAACCTATAGACTGGTGAACCAACAGTCAGAGGAGTTAAGAAGCTGTTGCAGTCATTCAGATGGGAGATGGTGGTAGGCTACACTAATGTCATGACCTTGAGGTTGAAGAGGGTGGGGACTGGATTCCAGCCTCATAAGCAAGCAAGTTTCCTGACTTCTGCCAAGCTTCCCTGTCCTACTCCCAAACAGTTGGGCTTTTCTGAGTAAACATTTCTTTGCCTTTATCAGCAAATCAAGTCTCCCTCAAAATTTTTCTAATTGCCATGCTCCCTCCCAAGTGTCCTCTTAAGTCTCAAATGTGAAATGGGAATAATGGAATTAAGTGTTAGGTGTGAGGTGCTTACCAAAATCCTATTCACATGCAATTGCTGGGAACCCTCATTAGTGAAGTGCTAGAGCAATTAACTGGTTAGACCAGTGGTTGGCAAACTCATTAGTCAACAGAGCCAAATATCAACAGTACAATGATTGAAATTTCTTTTGAGAGCCAATTTTTTAAAACTTAAACTCTAATGCCACTTCTTCAAAATAGACTTGCCCAGGCTGTGGTATTTTGTGGAAGAGCCACACTCAAGGGGCCACAGAGCTGCATGTGGCTCGTGAGCCACAGTTTGCCAAACATGGGGTTAGACTTATCTACTGCCACTAAGGGGTCCAAGTGGGATTGCTTGTTGGAAATCTCAAAGCTTTGTCATCCTCTGCAGTTTAAGTTTTATTTTAAAAGAGGACTTTATATTTGAGTTTCTACAGAGGAACTAGCATCAAACTTGGCCTTTGGACTTTATTAAGGTCTTTAAACACAAATTATTTGTTAAAGGTGATATTTTGTCATTAAAATTATTTCAATTAGTTTTATTTATTTTTAATCTTCACCCAAAGATATTTTTCTATTGATTTTCAGAGAGAGGGAAAGACTGAAGCATCGATGTAAGAGAAACATATTAATTGGTTGCTTCCTGAACATGCCCTGGCCAGGGAGGAGCCTGCAACTGTACGTGCCTTTGAACGGAATTGAACCTGGGACCCTGTGGTCCACAGGCCGATGCTCTATCCACTGAGCCAAACCGGCTAGGACTCAATTAGTTTCTTAAATGTAATAAGCTCTGTATCTTAGTACACATCTTAAAAACTAGCCAAGACTCTCATATTCTTGGTTTATGAGACATTTTTTTAAGACTTGAAAAATGCTTTGGACTGATTTTTAGATTTTAGCATTTCCTCTGCTCCCCTCCTCAGAACAGCCAGAATGTAATATAACTTGGGCTTAACTGAAACAACTTGTACATTGCAAAACTAAAGCAATGGTCTTTGTATTCATTTCCCAAATACTTTGGTTATATTCCTAAATGTGTGAAGCGCTAATCAACACTAGTGGTGGGCACTTTTCTTTTTGGATTTGACGCTTTAGTGGTGGAAGAAAGACCTAAATCATAAATTACTCTGTTGGCTGTGCATAATGGGGTCAGAAAATGCTGAGGGCCCAGACCTCATTTCAATGAGTAAGTTAGTACATGTGTCTTGTGTACTATCATGTTCTGGGGACAGAGCAATGAACAATATATGCAAGGCCCCTGCACCATGAAATAATCAAATAAGCTAATTTTGTCGGTGGTGGTGGGAGTTAGATCAGTGGGGTCAGACTGGACTTGGGTTCAGCAACTTGAGTCTAGCTAGGAAAGAATTCAGAGCCAAGATTCAAACTACAAGAGAACATTTATTTAGGAAATCACAGAGATGGAAGAAATGAGGGTAGAAGAAATGGCTCAGGAAACAAAAGAAGGGCCCTTGAGTCTGGGAATGAGGAGGGAAATGGTGACATGCCTAAAGGGAAGAAGATGGATATGGAAAGGAGGGGAGATGGAAAGGAGATGGATATGGATGGATGGGTTTGCTCCCTGGAGGGAGAGCTCCCTAGGTCCTCTGTCCTAAAAGTTTTAAGGGTGGAGATTTTAGGGGAGGTCCCAGAGGAAGATCTTAGCGTATTCAACAGCTTCCCAGGTGTGTCCTTTCAGGGTCTAGGTCAGGGCCATGGCAGGGGGTCACTATCCAATGCAGCTGGTCCTAAGGTGAGCCATGGCATCCCTTGTCTGGTTTTGTTGCTTTTCTGGGCCTGGAGCTGAAATAGAACTAAGGTCTGCGTGTATCTCTAGGGAGGAAAGGTCAGGGGTCCGAACCACTAGATCAGCGATATGCTAGGTGAGGAAGGGTCACCCTGAGGACGAGGTCCTGCAATTATCTGTTCCTAGGCACCTGAGGCTTTCCACCCTGGTGACCTTTTGTACTTGGCCCATTCTCCTTGCTCCGCTAATATCTGTCAAACTGCCTACCACAATTTTAAATAGTGGTAACTGCCATGAAGAACACCCAGGCTAAAGGGATAGCGTGACTGGGGTATGGGAGGAGGAATGTCTTCTCTGAGAAAGTGAAATTATACTGAGGTCAAAATGATGAGGATGAGTTACTGTGCACAGATGTGAGCCAGAACATACCAGTTAAGGGCACAGCTGATGCAAAGGTCCTGAGGTAGGAACCAACATGGTCAGTGTAGTTGAAATTCAATTACTCATGAAAGAATGTTACATGGTGAGAAGAGACAGACAGGGGCCAGATTTTGGAGACCCTTGGCTGCTGTTGATGACCTTTGCATGTTCTTATAATTACAGTGAATAGCCACAGGAGGTTTTTATAAAATAAAATTAATAACTAATAATTCAAGATCCAAAATGGATCAAAGCAAGCTGCTGGAATTGAAGCTGGAATTAGCACCCAGTGAAAACCTCTACTTTCTCTCCCATCTCCTATCTAATAGTTGGGATACCTGACACCTTAGGTAGAGCCAGGGGCTTCTCACTTCCATCTATCCCATTCACAGACATTAGGAAGTTCTTCTTTATGTCTTCTTATAAAAGCTACTCATTCATTTTAAATTTAACCGTGGGGATGACACAGCTCTGTTCTCTTTTTGAGTATAGTCCTGAAACCAGTTCAAGGATAGTGTAAACCTCTGCCTGCCCCTCAGTTCTTCAGTTCCTATTCAGGATGTGCCTGCAGTCGTGTTAGCCCTGCATCAGGGCATGCTGACATTATCAGGATGGTGACACTAATAACATAGTCTGATTATCTGCAATCCACTCTCTGTGAGGGTGCTCAGCATTCATTGTAGTTTCTCCAGCAAGGTCGCTCGCCCACAACTCTAAAAATAAAAGAAACAGACTCTACAATTTGTTCTCTCTCGCTCGCTCTCTCTTTCTCTCTCTCTTGCTCTTGCTCTGGCTCTCTGGCTCTCTTGCTGTCTCTCTTTCTCTCTCAGAAGAGGCTTCTAAATGTGGGATAAATCCAGGCTCCTCACTCTGGGTTGCAGCTTCTCCACACCAGCATCCCTCTCTAGTTTGACTCTCCATGGCTCCTCCCTGAAATTTACACCACTTCTTCCACCTTCCCTCCACAGATAATTTTTCCTCCTCTGCCCTTATAAATCATGAAGGACCAATTCATACACCCTTCTTTTTTTTTTTTCCTTTCTACTCTGTCTCTTTTTAAAATTTAAAAATCGACAGAAGTTATACATATGTGTGTGTATAAAGTATAAAAGAATGTTTCCTTTCTTGCCTTTTCCCAGTCCACTTTCTCTTTCAGAAACAGGGATTTGTTACGTATCTTTCCAAGCCTTTTGCTATGCATTTACATATAAGTAATTTGGGTTTTTGCTTTTTTCACTTTACAGTATATTTTTGCAGGCCAATACATGTAGTTTTAAAAACTATGCAATCATTAAAAGTCAGTTTGTTTGTTTTTTTTGTAAGAATTCGAACCCAAAGATATAAAGTGAAAAGAAATAGTTATCTAATTACCTATTTTTATTTTGGAGGTTATTGCTGTTAACATTTACATCTTAGTAATAAAATCCTAGGTGGTCGGTCCATCACCAGGAGGCAGGGCCCTGTGGCTCCATGCAGCCTGGAGGTGGTGCATCAGGGTGCACTCTGGGATGGGGTCCCAGGTCTCATACAATTTTGTGCCGGGTCACTAATATTAATATATTCATAAATACTTTAAAACATGTAATCCCTATAATATGTGGTGTATATATATCATATAGCATCTTGAACATTTTTTTCATATCTAGATACACATATGCCTTAGTAAACTCACTTGTTTCTTTTATGTTTGAAAATCTCTGACCCTTCTAGCTCATGTTAAGTCACACTTCCTTTGTTATTATTCAACACTAAATATTACCTGAGAACCTCCTATCTTCCCAGCACTGTGCAAAGCTCTAGAGCCACCAACATGCTTAATACTTAGCCCCTTCCCCCAATTTGAGTATCATAGTCTAACAGGAAGACACACTCCTAAAAATCTAAGAGACAAAGTGACATGAGCTGGAATACCTTAGCTGCATATTATTAGTTCTACTTGGGGGAAGTAAAGAAGGGAAAGCTAGAATTGAACTATAAAGAAGGAGGTCTTCTGGGGGCAAGTAAAAGGATTCATACACAGAGAGTAACAACAAATGGTTTGGCAGGAAAGAGCATGTGATGTCCAAAGGATGGCCAGTAACCCAATGTGACAGCAGTACCTGCAGTGGTGTGGACTGACCAGTATTGTGCTCTTTGCCCAACTGGACTCCATACCCCCTTGGGTTACTCTCTCTATGCCCTGCCATGCCTCCAGTGCAAAGGGCTCTTTCTTGAATTAGTCGGATTTAAGAAATATATATATTGTATTCACTTTGCACTCCTAACCATGTCTGTCCCTCTTTTTGCAGAGTGTAGTCACTCAAGAAATAGAACAGAATTCAGCCATGGCCCCAAGGAAGAGAGGTGGCCGGGGGATTTCATTCATCTTTTGCTGTTTCCGCAATAATGATCACCCAGAAATCACGTATAGGCTGCGAAATGATAGCAACTTTGCACTTCAGACCATGGAGCCAGCGTTACCCATGCCCCCTGTGGAGGAGCTGGACGTCATGTTCAGTGAACTCGTGGTAAGTCCCAGATTTCCATCCTAACAGTGATTGAAACTAGGAGGGAGAGGAGAGGATGTGAGTGGTTTGTTTTTGTCAGCCATGGACTTGCCCTGCTCAGTGACATGACCCGAATTGTCCCTTATGTCTGCTGCCCCACTGTTAGCACTGAGCCTGTGGAAAGAGAGAAGGAAGAAGGAAGCATTACTGCAGCAAAGGGCCTTGCTGGTGCTTTAAGTGGAGCGATTTAAACCTTTCGGTCTTCAAATATGTGGCAGTACTGCATCCTAAGTTATCCTTTCTATTTCTTCTTCATCCCGACCTGATTCTATACTTGTGTGCACACACAGTTCCCTCACCTGCTTCATATTTCATGGTAGTCCCCAGTATTTCCTCCATTCCCACTCCTAGTGTACAATATTAATGTCTTTTTAAAAATTAGTTGTACTACCCCGCCTGTCCTTGACCCTTTGATGAAAGACATTATTACTTAAGCATAGTATAATTATTTAGTCTAATGATAGGATTGCAATAATAACCGTTGTGGGAAACTTTTTATAGATACTATCATATATGAGAATCCACTATACTGAAGTGAGAGATGTGTCTGATGTAGGAAGACACAACCAATAGCTGTTGTGAGAAACTTTTTCTAAATACTACTTTATTTTAGAATCCACTATGCTGAAATGAGAGATGTAGCTGGTGTGGGACCCATTTACTAAGATGTAAGGGCTTTCTTCAACTTAGCTTTTCAAGCATCTCCAAAGTAGTGTTTCTTTCCATCCCATGTTTCAAGAGGATATTATGGCCCTGACATAGTGATTAAGAAGACCTTGCTTCTAATTACTGCTCTGACTTTATTATCTGTAAAGTATGGAAAAAGCATATGCCTTTTCTGAGCTTGTCTTCTGGGAAGTGGAGGAAAAAATAATACTGTCTCCTAATTTGATGTAATGTTTAAATGAGAATAATAAATGGCCCAATGCCTGGTCCTCATTGGTGCTCAATAAGTGTTATATTAGTACTTTACCCACCTCGGTTACCACTGGCATTTTATAATGGAGTTAGTTCTAATCAGACCATATGTATTATTGGGTAGATAACAGAGAGTGCTATTGTTTTACATGACTGTGTCAAAAAAGTAATATTGGCTGTGTCACTTCCCTCCAGGGGTATTATCTGAACTGATTGTGTCACCTCAGCTCTTCTAGACCAGAATTCACCTCTAAGCTTTTCCTACAAGAGAAGCTAGTATTGAGGGAGTATTGTGCATGAAGCTGTTACTTGAGTTCCAGTCTCCTGAGTAGATTAACGGGCCAATTATCAACCAGAACTGGTTGGCAAAAAGAAGAGATGACTCTTGGCAGCACTTTTGTACTTTATGATATTGAATATTTCAGTGTTTTAGCAATCTACCCTCTGCCATCTTCACTGCATACAGAGTTTATTATAAGTGTTAATGAGGATGTTCAAAATAGAAAACTGGAACCTGCTCCCAAAGAGCTGACAGTTTCAGTAGCAAAAGGGGGCCAATAAAGGTAGAATGCACCAAAGGAAGAAGCACAGCCCACTTATGCTTAGATTGCGTGTAAATGGGTTGTGATGGTGTTGGTGTTGGTGATGGAGGAGGATGGTCAAGGAAAACTTTCTGGAGAAAGTGAGTTGTGAGGAGCGATTGAAGGTGAGAAGGGAAGTGGAAGGGATCAATATTAATGACAGTCTTAGTCATTTTAAGCTAGATTTTTCTGTAGCAAAACCTAAGTGGTTACAGCAGCAAATGAAACCAGTGTGGGTCAACTGTGGTTCTGCTCCTCTCCATCTTCTATCCAAAACCTAACCCTGCTAGAAGAGGAAAGAGAGACATGATACTTCAGGTGATGAACATACAATACAATATATAGATGATGTTTTGGATAATTGTAGACCTGAAACTTTTATAATTTTATTAACCTATGTCACCCCAATAAATTCAATAAAAAAGAAAAAAAAGACATGGTAAACTGCAAGTGGGTTCTAAGCTTGTGCTTGGAAATGACATATGTCACTTCTGCCCAAGTTTCTTTGGCCAAGGCAAATCACATGGCCACTCCCGAGTTCACAGGGCAGGGATGTGTCATCCTTCAATAAAGACTGGCACCATCAGTCACATGGCCAAGCCTGAGGTCATTGGTGCGGGTGAAGGACATAGTCTTCTCCTATAGAGGGGCAGTGAACCTCTGCCATGATGGCCACCAAGACCAGCAATAATGAGGCATTGGCAGGCTTGGTTTATTTCCCAACTTAAAGCATTTTAAAATCAATGTCAACCTTAAGAAGACAGATGTTGCTGATAGGTGAAGATCTCCTTGGTGGTTGTGGAGCTGGTGGGCAGAGCTTGTACCCTCAAAGCATCCACATCCACTGTCCTTTCTATCATGTTCTGTCATCCTCCCCAAATAAGACCTGAACCAGGGCCTGTGTGGTGGCAGCTCCATGTACATCTTGAAGACAGTTCATTGTTGTGTCTTCATAAGGGAGAAAATTCATGTTCTGCCTTAGCGATGTCTTCATTCTGTGTGAAAATTGCCTACAGCTGTTAGTTGTTAAAAAGCCAACGCCAAACCAGAATTTGAGGCTGAAACCATTGGAAAACAAATTATCTTGAGGTTTGTATCTGTCCTGGTGAGTAAAAGATGAATTCTTGTCTACTTCTGATTTTAGGGACTTAGACCACAATCTATCCAACTGCCAAAGGTGTCCTGGGACAAGGAAGTGGACTCAGAGCCCCTGGAAACCTCTGCCCTGGATTCTCTTGAGCAGTTGCAGAAGCAGTTCTGCATCTGCCACTTTCCAGGAGAGGGAGGCCACGTGAGGAGGCGGAGAGTGCATGGCCTCTGGGGTCAGACCATTCTGCAACTTAGCTAGCTCCTTTCAGGTGGTTTCTGTTGGAATTTGAGTTTATTTTCTTATCTATAAAAGAGGGGGTTATACTTCCTCTCCTGTAGATTGGTATGGAGATTAAAGCAGATAATGTCTTTTAAAGGGCTGACACCTAGTAGATGCTGTACATCCTACATCCTAGTGCAGGGAGGTGATTCACGTGTTTTCTGGGCACAACACTAAGCATATATCCCAGACGTTTCCTTTTCTTGAAAGCTAATCTGCGGGCTGTGAGCGAGCCAATGTGGATCCCAACTTTCAGGCCATTTTACCTTTGTATCTGTTGGAAAGCATCTCATCAGAGCTGGGTGTTGTAAGCTAGTTTCCTTGGCCTTGTCAGATGAGTTACTCGTTTAATGTTTTTAAAAGTGATGCTAAATAGGTTACTTTCAGAATAGCTTACTGCAACCTTATCATCTCATAAATAAAGCAGGCCTGCATGGGAGGTCAGCCACGTGAATCTTTAAAGAAGGTGGGCAGCAAGGAGTGCCTTGTTCTCTAGCAGGTTCCCTGCCACAGCAGGAGAAACAGAATCAATCCAGGAAGTAGTGGTTTCTGGAGGTCCCCGTTCCACACACTGCCTATTTAAAAAAATAATAATAATAACAACTTTATTGAGATATAATCCACATGCCATATAATTAACTTATTTGAAGTGTAGAGTTCACTGGCTTTTAATATATTTACAGAATTGTGCAATAAATTCAGAACATGTTTATCACCCCCAAAAGCACTGTCATTCCCCATTTTTCCCCAACCTGACCATCTTTTGGCAACCACTCTCTGTTTCTGTGAATTTGCCTTTTCTGAGCATTTTATAGAAATGAAATTATGTAATATGCGGTCATATGTAATCATTTGAGACTGGCTTCTTTCACTTAGTATAAATGTTTTCAGGGTTTTTATCCTTATTGTAGCATGTATAAATACTTCATTTCTTTCTATGCCAAATAATATTCCAGTGTAAGGACATACCACATTTTGTTTATCCATTAATCATTGATGGACATTAGATTGTTGTCAGTGTATCATGAATTATGCTGCTATAAACATTCATTCACAAGTCTTTGTGTGGAAATATATTTTCAATTCTCATGGAGTAGAATTGCTGGGTCGTATGGTAATACTGTTTAACTTTTGAGGAACTGTCAGACTGTTGTCCAAAGTGGCCGCACCATTTTACATTCCCATCAACAAAGTATGAGGCTTTCAGTTTCTCCATATATTTGCCAACTCTTGAGAGTTTGCGTAACCTCTGCTAACCATACATTTTATGCCTATTTTACAAAAAAATAGCAATATCTTTTTTCCTGTATTACCTTCCCTGCCTCAGCTTTGTCTCAGGCACAAGTGAGAATCATAACCAATCTGAGACCCAGCATCCATCCCATAAAATAAGGTTCAGCTGAAGTCTTGTCTTTTTTTTTTTTTTTTTAAATATATTTTATTGATTTTTGTACAGAGAGGAAGGGAGAGAGATAGAGAGTTAGAAACATCGATGAGAGAGAGTCATCGATCAGCTGCCTCTTGCACACCTCCTACTGGGGATATGCCCGCAACCAAGGCACATGCCCTTGACCGGAATCGAACCTGGGACCTGTCAGTCCCCAAGCCGACGCTCTATCCATTGAGCTAAACCGGTTTCGGCTGAAGTCTTGTCTTTTCTATAGACTTTTAAAGATCTTAGGTCATCCCCACCAACCTATTTGAAAAGTTCTAGGCATGACAACTCTATGCACTGTTTTTACTCAAGCAACTTTTCCATGTCAATGTTAGTAATAGGATATTTCTTTGGGATGAACAGAAGAATGTGCCATTAATTGGCAGACCAATTCTTTTTATCTGTATGTGTGTTAAGTGCCTACTCTGTGCCAGGCCCTGAAGTAACTGGTGAACAAAATAGACATGGTCATCCTAACTGGTTTGGCTCAGTAGATATAGAGTGTCGGCCTGCAGACTCAAGGGTCCCAGGTTCCATTCCAGTCAAGGGCACGCACCCAATAGGGAGTGTGCATGAGGCAGCTGATGTTTCTCTCCAGATTGCAGGCACATACCCAATAGGGAGTGTGCATGAGGCAGCTGATGTTTCTCTCTCATTG